AAAGTCTTCATTTAGATTTATTTTATGTGGGTTCATTGTTTTCTATTGTTTTTTATTTCATTTATTTCTTACTTTCAAGAGTTAATCAATTTTCTTGAGTGAAAATATAGTATTGTTCCTTGCATTTTCTTTGTTTGTTTCTCAAGAACAAAAGAAATGCTTGTCTCTGAGCTATGCAAGTCTTGAGTAACTTCACATATGATATAGCTTTCTCTTGCTGCTACTTTGCTACTTTGCTTTCAAGTTTAAAGTACATTCTGAGAATTGAAAAGAATTGTTTGTGCTATTGTGAATGTCTATGAGATTAAAACCATTTTGTTCTTTACTTAGAAAACATAAATTTTGAGTCAATCAGATGGAGCAATATGAAGTTCTAGAGCAAATTGGGAAAGGGGCTTTCGGTTCTGCACTTCTTGTCAGGCATAAGCATGAAAAGAAGAAGTAAGACTGGAATTAACTTTTCCTTTTTTCTTCCCCTGGGGCCATCCGCTGGTCAAGTATTCCTTATGATATCATCATGCAGATTTTGAGAATGGGTCTTAATTTTGCTCTTTGATATATAAAGGTATGTGTTGAAAAAGATTCGGCTTGCTCGCCAGACTGATAGATCACGGAGATCTGCGCACCAGGAGGTAGTATCTTTATTGATGATTGTCTCATGGAACTAATGCGTTACTTTTGTGTGCTGTTAATCTTCCATTATTATGGGCCTTAACTGATAATCTTCCATATACACTATATTAAATTAATTTTCTAGAGGACTAGCAAAAATGGAAAGAACACAAGTAATGGATATGCAGAAGGCTATGTATATTGGATATCTCCAGATTGACAGTTTTCCGTTTTTGTGTAGATGGAGCTCATTTCTAAATTACGAAATCCATTTATTGTGGAGTACAAGGATTCTTGGGTGGAAAAGGTACATTTTTTTGCAACTATATCTTGTGTAACTGTGTATCGATGGCAATTAAGTAAATTGTGGGCATATTTAATCTATGGATTACTTTGTCAAATTGTCAGTGTATAATTGATTGTTTGGCAATAAGCATCTGTGTCACTGTGTAATATTGGTTCTTCCCTTGTTCTCAGGGTTGCTATGTGTGCATTATTATAGGTTATTGCGCAGGAGGAGACATGTAAGTTTTCTGTTGTGCTGAAATTCTGATTTTTTATATATGTGGATTCATCTGCTTCTACTTGAAGCCTTGCATGTTATTGGCCATTTATGTTACTTTTCTCTGTGGTACAGGGCAGAAGCTATAAAAAAAGCCAATGGTCTTCTTTTCCCTGAAGAGGTTCGAAGTTATTTTGATTCTTGTGTTTGTCTTTGTTTTCTCCTCTTGCAGAAAGTTTTTTCATATATACACATTCCTTGCACGGTACTACAGTAGTCACTTTTATGCATTAGATAACTGTAATTTTGGCTCCTCTACATCTAAGTCATGGCAATTAACTTTTATCAGAAGCTCTGTAAGTGGCTTGTTCAACTTCTAATGGCGCTCGACTATTTGCACTTGAATCATATTCTTCATCGTGATGTCAAGGTTAGTGACATATTTCTTCCAGTAAAGATGGTGTTGCTATCTTCTTTCAAAATGTCTGAAGCTATTTTGTACTGATAGTGTACCATGATCGTTTCAGTGTTCTAATATATTCTTGACAAAAGATCAAGATATACGTCTTGGTAAGTGATCCTATAATCTTCTATAGTTCTCCATAAGAGGAGTGTAATTTTTCTGACAACAATTGATCAACGTGGGAGCAGGTGACTTTGGACTTGCCAAAATGTTGACTTCAGATGATCTTGCCTCTTCAGTAAGTAACTATGATCCTTCTCCGAAATTCAATTATTCACAATGTCTTGAAGCTATCTGTAGTAAGCATCATTATCTCTTGATTCAGGTTGTGGGAACTCCTAGCTATATGTGTCCTGAGCTTCTTGCGGATATACCTTATGGTTCAAAATCAGATATTTGGTCTTTGGGTAAGCACTTTGTATATGGAAATGTTTTGGCCTTGATTCTTTCTCTTTAGCTGCAATATGTATTGTACTGAATATTTTTTGTCCAGGATGCTGCATCTATGAAATGACTTCTCATAAGGCCGCATTTAAAGCATTTGTGAGTTTTTGGAACTCTTATATTACAGATATCTAGAGATACATTGCTTTGCCTCTTTTGTGTGTGTTTACTCCATCTGTTTTTTGGTTTTATTTATAGACTGTTTCCTTAACTGCATATATATAGATAGATTAGTATCTTATATTAGATCATGTATGCAGACTTTTCTTTCACATGATTCTTTTTTTCTTGTGTACTTATTTCCTGTTTCTTTAACAGGATATACAAGCACTGATTAACAAAATTAACAGGTCCATAGTTGCTCCCCTTCCCACAAAGTACTCTGCTGCATTGTAAGTTATCTCATCTATGTTTGGTTTTTGGTGGCTATTTAATGTCAAGTGCATGTTTAGCTGCCTTCCTCACTGCATAGGATTATGGACATACCTTTGCGGGACATTTAGAATTGTGTAAGGATAAATGCAAGTAACAAACATAACAGATGCTTCAATAGCCTGGTTTTTATTACCACGTTTTTCTAGGTGGATGTGATTAAGTCGGCTTTTAATAGGTGAATATTGTTTATCTAATCATTTTCCTTATTTCTATTTTCAGCCGAGGCCTTATTAAAAGCATGCTTCGGAAAAACCCAGAACTCAGGCCAAGTGTATGTATACTTCTCCTCTAGTGTAAAAACGTATGTGAATAAACCCACCTTAAGATAATAGTCAAACATGATAGATTTTACAAAATTAATTATGAATTCACTGTGCAAAATTGTTCTCTTCCTCACCATATCTAACATATCTCATTACGATGCGCCACAAGCTGGTACAATGCTTTTGCCATATTTTTCCATGACATGAATGGTTCATCACCTTGCTGTCTGCTCTATTTGATTGGCTATATAGTTTTGTAATTTTAAAATTTATGAACTCAAATGCATTGCATCCAAAACCTATGGAATACATATTATCAATCCAGTGTTCCCTGGAATCCTTTGGCTTCATATAATCTGTATGCAAATGCAATATCCTTCAGGTAAGTTTGATTCCTTTAAATCATAGTTCGTACAAATTGTAACAGTCCCCAGCTTTTACCTTCTCATCTCATTTGAAGTGTTTTTGCTTGTGGCAGGCTGCAGAGCTGCTTGCTCATCCACTCCTTCAGCCTTATGTTCACAAAGTTCATCTCAAAATCAATATCCCCAGACATGGAAATTTAGCAGTAAATTGGCCTGATCCCAGTTATTTGAAGAAAACAAGATTCGCAGAGCCAGAAGATGCTCGTTTCTTCACATGCCAGGATAAGCGGCATACATTAAGCAATGATAGGACTTTGAATCCTAGTATATCTGGAGGTGAGCAAGATTCACTGTGCTCTATCCAAGAAATGCATGACAAGCCAAATTATCTGAAACAACAATTGGCAGGACTGTCTGCTGGTAGAACCTTTAGAAAAGCAGCCATATCCAAGCAGCCAATTGCTTCCAAAACTTCAAATATTGTTAAGACTCGAGCTCCAGCCAAAGCTTCGGTTACTCCCAAGAGATGGATGGAGCCAAAGAATCGCTCATCGGTAAGATATCTATCTTTCTCTCTCTCTCGCTCTCTCTCTTCTCCATGCACATGCAACTTTAGCTTGCATAGTAGCGCTATTTAATGGGCAAGTCACACTTTGCAAAATCTTTAGTTTCTGAATGGCTATTTTTGGTAAAGTTTGAGTTTATAAATTTGTTATTCCAGCTTCCTGTTTCATGCACTTCCAAAAAGGCAGTAAGTACAACTCGCAGAGCATCATTGCCATTACCAACAAGTGCTGCAACTCACCAATCCCCCTTCCGGCCCAATATTGGTTTTCTTCACTTTATTAAATCTCCTGACGTTTCTGTCAATTCCCCTCGAATTGACAGAATAGCTGAATTTCCATTAGCCTCATATGAAGAACAATTATATGAAGAACAGTTTTTGCCTATCCATAGAAGAACTTCATCACACTCTGTGCAAGGCTCGTCTGGTTCCCCGCAATCTGATGACCATTCAATCATGAAGGACAAATGTACAGTTCAGACATGTGACAGAGCGTCTCGCAAACTTAGTTTCGCTGGTGCGTGGCAGGGAATTCAATCCAGCATGTTCCAAGCTGAACGAGACAATCAAAGTGATGAATGTTCTGATCAAAATGCGACTGCTGGAGCGTCAAGCCGGACATCATCAGACGCACGTCGCAGGCGGTTTGACACCAAATCATTCCAGCAAAGGGCTGAAGCTTTAGAAGGGCTGCTTGAATTTAGTGCGAGGTTACTCCAACATCAAAGATATGATGAGCTTGGGGTGTTGCTGAAGCCTTTTGGGCCTGGTAAGGTCTCCCCTAGGGAAACTGCTATTTGGCTGACTAAGAGCATCAAGGAAAATACTGTCAAGCAGGATGATTAATTCCAATGAGCAGTTAACACGTGTAATATATTTCAGACTCCAATATTTTTTGTAGTTTACGAGTTTCTGTAATCATTCTTCTCAAGAAGGAATTAGGCACCTAGGTAGATACTGATTTTGCAGGTCATGATCTGAGAAGAGGAATGGTTATCACCTTCGATTCAACTTAGTTTGAAACTGTGATGGGTTAATAGAATATTTCTCAATATTGCGTAACATCAATCTGAGCATATAATCTCTCTCTGCTTGTTTTTGTTTTTTATTTTTCTGTATTCTTGGTTTGCGTTTAATACAACTGGGATCCGAAATAACCGAAAAGAAAAAAAGAACAACAAAAGGTAAACATAAGTACTGGAAGTAACAAGTGGTATGAATTCATGATAGGAGAAAACCTTCACATATTAACAGATTAAAAGAAATGGTTCCAAATTTTCAAATGATGGTTACTTGGTATAATTTTCGTCCTGAAATGGCACTGAACTCATAAACAAGTATAATTAGTTATTAGAATATTTCTTTGGAAAGTTCATTTCAGTAGTGCAATGCATGCCATAGGTGTCTGTAAGAACTCTTCAGTATCCATTTCTTTTTCCCAACTTAAAACTGATGAGCGAGGAGCTGCTAGTACAAATTCACATGGGGCTGCAATCAAACAATTCAATAAAATTAGACAATCATGAGAAAGGCAAAACTTACGAATATAAACCTGAACAATTTAGTTCATTGAACTATATTTTTACCTCATATGCAGCCAGAGATTCATTATAATTGGAATGACCAGTGCTTGGGCCAACGATGGCGTGCTTGTTGTCCTCAAACAACCTTCTTGACTTGTAGAGCTTAACAAACCAGGGATCATGGTTTTTATGACCACTGGGTTTGAACTGTGAAGACGAACGTTTCAGAACTTGATCCTCCATAGGACCATCCGTTGCATCCCATGATTCTGTATGCTTGGTTTTGTGCTTTGTGCTCCCTTCCGGCCGTTGCTTTGGCTCACTCTGTGACCTGACTTTTGCCTTCGAAGATTTCGTGTTGGTCATGTAATTTGGCTTGAATGTGTAGTCATAACACGCAGGGTCTCCATAATCCTGCTGTTGAAAAGTGAAAGGGTGTCTTGTTGGTTTTGGTTTAGATGCTGCAGGATAGTTCCAGGGACTATTTGCTATTGGAAAGGAGGGTTCCTCGTATTGATGTCGCTTTGAGGTGGAAAGACGGTCAGAATAGAATGTTGTGTGGCCATGCTCAAGCTTCCCAGCTTGTAAATGATTAAGGTGGGCGCTTGTGCTTTTCGAAACTCTTTGAACATCATTGGAATTCAAGTCCATTGTCTTCTGCATAAAGAAGGTCGTATTCTAAGTTAGAATTTAAAGATTTCAATCATATGCAACCTTCTTGGTATGGGGGGCAGCCAGAGCCTGACAAGTTTAGGGCCCTCACTTCATGTTTGGTTGATCAGAAAATGGTGGGAAATTTATGTTGAGTATTTGTACCAGGCTCAATTGGGTTTATGTTGTATTGGAAATTTTGAATCACAGATATCAGAATAAGCATCAATTCGATTTGGAAGAGTTTGGTTTCTGTGTAAGTCTTCTTCCCAAGAACCAAAAGGAACAAAGCAATGCAAACCAAAATTCTGAAGTCACTTCCCAAATTAAAAACTAGCACAGATAGCATGAATATGGCAGATATATTTCAGACTGAAGGAGGAGACTTACCCTATGCACCCCATGGTCTCTTTGAATGGTCAATTGCTTTTTATTAGCTTGCTGTGCTTCCTCTGCCATCTGAATTCTCTTAAACCGAGCTCTAACCTGGATTGCCATCAACGCATGCATCTGCATTATAGTAGCAGTTGTTTGTTTCCTCACGATGTGACCTCTTATGAGTGCTTGTAACTTAACAAGACCCTTCAAGGCATGTAAAGCCTTCCTTGCCTGAAACAAAATAAGCAAAATGATCATGTAAAATAAATAGATTTAGACTGCCCCATCTTGCTTAAATCTATGTTGTTAATTAAGATTAATAATTAATCTTTAATGTTTTGGATGGAAATTTGTACCAAATGAGAACGGAAGGCAGCTTGAATCCTTGTGGCAGCAGCATCCTCAACATCTCTTGGTAGCACAGCCAATGTCAAGGCATGATTCTGCTGAGCCTTCAAAGGCAAAGGCAATATAGTGGTGTCAATTGAATCAACAGATTTGGAGGGCCTGTGGCATGCCTCTTTGCCTGCTAACCTTCCAAAGCTCCATCTTCGCTTCACTTTCGGTGTCCCTGGCTTGGTAGCAGTAGAAGGATGCTCAGTCGAAATCGAAACATCGGTTTGGTTAATCTTTTTTTCCTGCTTTCCTACCAGAAAGTTCATAATCCATTTGCTTGCCTTTCCCATCTTTAATTGTCACTAAAATTCCGCTCTATGCTGAAGAATTACAGAGTTGCTCCTTACATATATAGACTGTGATGATCTTACTGTTTAATCTTGGTTGGTTGACTTTGTATGGATACTTGATATATTAAAATCTGTTACTCTATCAGTATGCATGGCTTTTTCTCTCAAGTACTTACCTGGTTTGGTCGTCTGATGCCATTAATTTAATGACTTTGGCCTGCATAGGTTTCTCTGATAAAGCCATTTGCCACCGTCATATAGATAGGCAAAGACGACTCCTCCTTGGGTAAAAAAAACTTTCAACTGCTAGAATTTTGATTTCCTTAGGAGGCTGCACCTGGCAATCAAGGGGTAGCTGTGTTTCACCTTGGTGCACCAATTAAATCAAACTGCATCTACAAAAATCCATATTTCCTGGTCCTGTAATTCTTCCTGTTATTGGCCGCAGTAACTAAACTGCTCAACCTTTGCTTCATTATTTCTCTCAAGACATCCACTCATATTTTTCGTTTTTGCATATTTTTCGTTTTTGACATAAATGATATTAGAACATAGGACCTCGGATGCACGAGTACCTCTTTTTACTCTTGGGTTTTATGCTCAACTGGATGTTTCCAGTCTAAAATTGAAAACCAAGCACATATTTTATAAACTTACAAAAATCCAATTCATTTTTACTTCAGTAATTTGTTTAAATCATCTAAATATCAGGGAAACATAAACCATGAAACCATGAAATGAAAACATGTAAAGCTCAACAATTTTGGTTCAAAATACAAAATTTAGCCCACGTTCAGTTGCCAAAACCAAACTCAGATTATTGCTAATAACCAAAACACAAGCACTAATCTAATTCAGCAACACTGCATCAATTCTTCATCTGAGCTTCCCCTTCTCAGAGCTCTTCCTAGCTGCCTCCTTAACCTTCTCAATGTAGCCTTCAATGGGAGGCGTCAGAGTTGCCATGAACCGATTTGCTGGGAATTTAGAAAGATCCGGCACCAAGGCTGCTGCCTTCAAATGCTCAGGCAATGCCTCAATCGCCTCCTTCTTCAACCTCAACAGCGTGGACTCCGCCGCCTGCCTTGCCCTGTGCCGCCTCATCAAAACCCTACTGTACTCCTTGGCAAGCCTCCGGCCATCTTCAACAGTGAGGTTATATTTCGGTAACTTCTCCGCATCAACCAAACCCAGCGATATCAAATCCAAGCCGGGCGTTCCAAGAATCGTTGGCTTTTCTGGGATGCCCAATTTCTCCTTGCCTATCTTCAGCATCTCAATCTCTCGCTGCCGCTCTTTGCTAATAAGCCCCAACTTAGCTCGCTGAATCTCGCGTTCTCTCTGTTCTGGCGTTAACCACCTAACAGGGGTGGGGGCATTCAAGCATTGATCGTAGAACTTTTCGACCCGATCTCTGTGAGATTGTCCTTTACCTCCTCCACCTCCACCTTTAGAAGCAGGTTCTGCAGTGCCTCTCTTTACAGTTATCTTTGACCGCTTCAATGGCAGTGCAGTTTTCGTCTTCGATTTACCCTTTGCGGTCCCACTCACAGAGCATCTCTGAAGGAAGTTGTAGCTTGAAGGAGACTCATTCAATGGCCTCAGCGGTTTATTCTTAAAGATGCGTATCATCTTCTGAATCGGAAATGAGCTGATTAGCTGTGTTAGGGTTTCGCAGAGAAGTGACTGCTGACCAGAGAGGGGCTGAGGTCCGAGAAAGAAGATGAAGACGGAATGAGAAATGCTAAAAGGGCGTTGTTGGGCTTGCGGCTTAAAATATGTGTGGGCTCCATTTGGGCTTGGCCTGCTTGGGTGCTCGACCTTCTCTAAGTGGGCCTCACATTTGAGCCCAAAAGTGGAGAAACACTTGTGTTAAACTTGTATATCAGGCCAATCACGACATGTTACATGTGATAACTTGTCCCGTTTCATACAAGTTTTTCTGCCAAAAGTGGGTTTAGCACAAAATTATAACTTGGTAATTAGCAATTAGCAATTAGCATAAGCATGCTTATTGAATTTAAAAACATTAAAATCTAATAATGAGCATATCAACCAAGTGGTTTGGTTTGGTTTATAATTTATGGGTGTTTGACTTGGGATTTCGTAATCTTGTGAATGTTTTCTTCTGCTCGCAAGCCAACCTTCTTAGACAAATACTGTAGATGTGATGAAGGATCATGATCATGAGCATGAGTGCATGTAACTAAACATCATTAAATAATACGGAAGATAGTTTTTAAAACTCAACGCTGCCTTTATTTTGGTTGTATAATTTTCAACCACCCACTCCGAAATGAAGATAATTATGAAGCCGTCATCTTCCTTTGGTTAGGCTTCTTCAAGTTCAACCTCCGGAAAATGGCAGTGAAGGCGAAATGTTGACTTTGTGGAAGCTCAAAGGTTCTCATTTTCTCGTGTCACTCTTCTAGAATTAAATATTATAGTTTGAAGTTTGCACACTTTGTGGAATTTAGACTCAGCAACAATGGGCAAATTTCTTCTTCTAGTAGCAACGTAGCATATTGTTGACTTTGGCACTCTTGGTGGACCCAGAGAGATTAGATTGTACTGAAAGTTATAACGTGAACAGCAACGATGGGCAATGTCCACTCCACAATGACAAGCCCTTCACGTTCATTAGTTATGGAACCTTCTTTCAGTGGACAGAATCAGGCCAGCATCAGAAATTCAGAACCTTCTCTCACATTTTAGACTTTATATTAAGCTCCTCCAAATAAGCGTGTTGATTTTCTATTTATTATTTTTTATCTTTGTTTGTGTACTAAGAAAAGAAATCTTCAGCATCTTTCATTTCAAACTACATATATAAACACCCCAACACCATTAGAAACAGCAACCAACATAAAACCTCTCCCTCTCTCTCTCTCTCTGCAAAGACTCAAACAAACCAAATGGCTTTCTCTAAATCCATCGCCTTTTTTGCTGCCCTTCTGGTGGTGCTACCCATGGCTGCTTTGGCCTTCGACTGGGACAACATAGCTCCTTCTATTGCCGGTAGCTACTTCATCCTCTCTCTCTCTCTCTCTCTCTCTCTCTCTCTCTACTTATGTAAACATTATTGTCTGGTTTCTGTCTTCTTATACATGCTGTTGTTGTTGTTGCAGATGAGGTGTGCAAACAAGTGGAGTGTGGACGGGGAGCCTGCAAATTTGATGTAGAGGATCCATTAGGCTTCACCTGCGAGTGTGAGGCTGGTTGGAAGCGAACCCGTGACGGAGACGATGACCTTAAGTTTCTCCCCTGTGTGATTCCCAACTGTAAGCTCTCTTTCTTCCTCTCAAATAAAAACTTCCCCAGCGGAGCTGGATCCCGTTTTGCAGGATGCATACAGAAGTTGGGAAAATTATGTGACATACATTTCATCGTTTTCATTTTTCATGTTTTTGCAGGTACACTTGACTACAGCTGCCAGCCAGCTCCACCTCCAGTTCCTGCTAAAGAAATTCCACGCAACTTGTCGGCCTTTGACCGTAATTACCATCAAACCACCTCAATCACCATGTCCATTGATTCTCATTATTACTTGTGATTCTTTTATTAATATATGATTTTTTTTCCTTTCTGTGGTTTAATATATATAGCTTGCTACTGGGTTTACTGTGGAGAAGGTAACTGTGTAAAGAACGAAACATATGCACATACACCTATCTGTGAATGCAAATCAGGCTTCTCCAATCTTCTTAATGTCTCAGCATTCCCTTGCTACAATGAATGTAAGAACACACTCACTTGTCCTCTCTCTGGTTGAAATAAATATATAACAAACAACAAGTTGTAGAAACTAATTGGGGCAATGAATTTTTTTTTCATCTTTCAGGCACACTTCAACCCGACTGTAAAAGCCTTGGAATTACGGTTGCTAAATCAACTTCTACAGACAATAATCAAGGTGAGATTGCTGTCCAGAAAACACCAATATCTATCTGCTCTTTATTTCTTATTATTACTTAGATAATCACAGTTTAAATTCAATCTGAACGAACGGCACTCCTGTATACTAATTAATTAAGAGAAGGTACCAGACCTGGATACAACGATCATCGGGGTAGGATGATACCTGTTCAAGAACAATTAGAATAAAGAAATAAAAGTTTCATAGTGTCTTCTTGTATTGGTTTATACTAATCTTATTTCAATATCTAAATGGTTTAGGTAGGTTAAAACCATCATCTTTTTTTCTAAAAAAAATATTAATCTTTGAATTAGTATACTTTGATAACTTTTTTGGTTTTAAGGATTAAGACTTAGTCAAGGCACTAGAGGTTTCAAAAGTTCACATCTCTACGTAATTGACTTAAAAAAGGCACCATATGATTTTAGCTCTCATTCATTGTCTGAATATAGCTTGATGACATAGACTAAAAAGAGCAAAACTTACCTCCCGTTTGGCTATATTCAAGGCAATTGAATTTTACATTTTGCTGATGTCTGAAAGGAAAACGTCATGCGACTAAGACAACATCCCAGTATTTTAAAGAAGCAAAGGCTATTCAATTTGCTATTCAACCATGGCTTGCACGCTCTATACTAATGGTTTTCTCTTTTCCTCTTGTTTTCCAGCTACCTCGTTTTTGCCAGGAAAGTTGCAGTTGATGACTATGGCTATGGTCTATGTGGGTATGATTCTGTGGAAGTAGGGTGGAAAGTGCTGTCACGAGATTGAGCTTTCTATTTGTTTGTGCTATAGCTTCATCATACATGAATTTGATATACTTCAGATTAGTTTCGAGTTGGTGTAACATTCCTTGATTTTTCCACAGTTCATCATTCTGTATAAAGTTAGTTTGTATAACCCGAAACATAGTCATACATCGATGACTGTCATATATGATATATTTCACATTGTGGGAGCGATTTTCACCCCACAAGAATATTCGTCTAAGATTCTTTTGTCTTCTTTGCTTCTCTTTCTCGCTGCAAAACAAATCGGATTAAAAGTACCACACCCGGAGGGTGTTGGCCAAAGGCCCTCTGGTGCCTAAGTTAGGTAGGGTGTTTGTAGGAAAACCGGGTGACCGAAGCTGTGTGTGGTGGCCGGAGCCTTGTGTGAGAGAGAGAGAAAGAATATAGCGGCAAGGTTTGTGAGGAATAATTTCTGCAGAGTTTTAATATGAATTTAGATATACCTCAACCTTTGTGAGTAGCCAAGTATTTACAGGGGCCTCGGAGGTTAGGGTTTCAGAAGAATAATTCCGTTGATGGAAATGAATTATTCTTCCTAATTTGGCGAGGTTGGTATAATTAGGGATTTGATTAATCAAATCCCTAATTAAGGCAAGAATCAAATACATCCAATTTAAATCAAATAACCTCCCAATTAGGTCAAATAATTCCCAAATTAATTGGCTTAATTATTTGACCTAAGAGGAGATATTTTGCTTCCACACACATTATAAACTATAGAAAGATTGTTACTCTTACATTAATTCTATGGATCATCTATCACTAACAGAGCAGGCTTTATTTTTCTCTGTTTTGCACTTTGAATTCAAGGA